AAATCCAGCCCATGTCCTGTTCCTGATTATCCACGAGCTAAGAATAGGTTTTACATTTATAAAGTTGCTAAAAGGAAAAAAAAAAAAAAAAGAAGGAAGAATATGTGATAGACCATATGTGGCCTGCAAAGCATAAAATATTTACTGTCTGGCCCAGGCCTCTACAGAGAAAGTTTGCTGACTCCCTATCCAAAGCAGAAAACTCCCACTGCTGAGCAATGTCACGTCACATATCTTGTAGATATCTTGTTTAATTGTTGTTTGATCATGTCTCTCACTTGAATGTGATCTCCATAAAAAAGGGACTCTGTCATATTTACTGCTATATTCCTGGCAACATGTCTCAATAAAAATCTTAAATCAACAAAAGATAACCACACTCCTCATAATTACTATTTTGCAAATCAAGAAAACTGTTACCACAAGGAGAAACTTCCGTTTTTTCCAGGGTTAGAACTTCTACAATTTTAACTGACTTTTAGATTAAGTCCCTCAACTCAGAGACAGTCAAGCTAGGGAGATTCACTCCTCCATTTCCAAGCAATAAAGAACCCACAGATCTCCAATGAGAGATAAACCAAGAGAGATTTTGGCATTTAAAAACTGACAAGCAAGAAGAATGAGGAAGAAAGGAGTAAGGAGGGGAATAAGGAAAGCGATTTAGGTAGCAATAAGTGGGGATAAAAGTGTAAAGCTAACAATCCTCTAAGATTAGGAAGTTTGGCCTGAGCGGCTCACCTTCCCAGTGCTCTCAGTCGGCAAGCAGCTGAGTGGGGAGGGGGAATCCATGCTTTTTAAGTTTCCTGGGACCAACCTGCTTCTGTCAAATCAACATGGGTCGAGACATTCTTAGTGATAAACTGTACCACCAGTAATAAGCTATAATAAACATAAGCATTGTACCCTTGCCATACTGGTGTGGAGAGAAGTTATATTATATAGATTCACATATTTCCGAACTAAAAAAGACCTTGATGAATGGAAAAAACTGTTACTTGTCTCCCAACATCAAGTTTTCCCCTCCTTCTCAGGTAACTCTGGTTTTTATTAGAGACAACAATCTGTCCAGTTAAAGACTTACACTTCCCAGCTTCCCACTCCAACCATTATCATGGAGCTATAGTCTTGGGAGGGAAATTTATTTCTGTAATGCTAGAATGTGACATTTTCATCTTCGTATCCCTGATGTTCAATGTACTGGTAAGCTTTGGAGAATGAATGAGTGGCTAAAAATACTGTTTCTTCATCAATCCCAGACTCACACTTTTCCACATTTTTCATCTCTGAAGCTGGAGTGCGTCTTACAAACTACAGCACATAACAGTTTAACTTGGCAGTGTTTAACGCTAGCAATACACATAGTGGTCCGTCTTCCAATCCAGGTGGCTTGGATTTGACGAATTAAGGAAGAGTAATTCTTCTACCATATAATACTTCTTCCCATATTTGACAGCAAATATATTACCCCAAGGGGTCTCTAAGCAGGACAACCCTAGTGCTTATAGACAAAAAACACAGGAATGTAGAGCAGGCAGCTACTCTGGAGAGCAATTTGGAAGTACACTTAAATTAAGTAGACATATACCCTGTGAGCCAGAAATTCCACTCCTTAGTATATATGTCAAAGAAATGTTCACACCAGGTCCAGAAGAGGAATGTCTAAAGAAGGCCACGCTGCATGTGGTGGCAAGGAGCTAGAGGCACCCTGGGTGCCTATCGCTGCGGGAATGGGTGGACGGATGGGAAGACACACACCTGAACTGTGTAGCTGCTGGAAGCAAAGGACTAGACTTGCACGTGGTAACATGAAGGATCTTAAAAACCGCACTGAGTTGAAAGGGAAAACTATAAAAGAAATAAAATCTAAAACAAAACATGCAATTCAGATTTATGTAAAGGTAAAAAATAAGAAAAATACTCGTGTTCAAGATAAATGTTTATAATAACCATAAGTTGAGTATAACCTTTAAAAATTGTGAATCACTATGTTGTACACTTGAAACTTATATAATACTGTAAATTGACTGTACCTCAATAATTTTTTTTAAAGAATAAATGTTAAAAGGAAAAAATAAACATAGAGAAAGGGAGGAAGAGAAATGAATTATGGGAATAAAAAGAATAAATGTACAAAATAAGAAGTGATCTTGCAAGGATCAATGATGACTGTGTGTCATAAGCTCAGGAATATGACTAACTTAATCTTCTACATTTTCAGCCCAACCAGAAAACCACAAAAGTAAAAAACTATACTAAGCACCATGGGATACAATAATAATAATATACAGTGCTGAATAAATATAACTACTATTATTTATTATATACCAGGCATCTAAGAGCTTATGTGCCTTGATTAATTTAATCCTCCAACAACTCCATGAAGTAAAAACTATGATTATTCTTATTTTACAGGAAATCAGGGAAAAAAAACTTAAGGAATTTGCTCAAGGTAACTATAAGGGCTGGGATTCAAACTCAAACTGTGTGTGTCTGGAACTGCAGCTCTGATCTGTTATACCAGAAAGCCTCTCATGAATAAACCACCATGCCAATAATGTAAACGTTACATTTTAAAAAGGAGAGAAGCTATTTATAACCAAGCACAATGCAAGCTGAAAACAAATAATTTAAAAAGTGGCCAAACAAAATGTAATTTTCAATGTGGTATACAGTTGGCACTTAATAGAATATTTGTTGACTGAGTGGGTAGATTAACAAGTGGGATGCTACCTCAGGCTTCTTCAATGACTTCCATTGAAGGAGGTCTTAAGGATAGAGATACATGAGCCAGTAACACTGTGGCAGTCCATTTGAAGAGTAAAAACAATATGACTAAGGGAAAAGAATGGGAAACGACAGGATACACTGATAAAATACCAAGTGACCTAGTCTAGGTAGGTGACTTCATAAAGAACCTAAAAGGAAGTCTTAGGAGGTTTACTTGGATGGAGCATAGGCATTAGACTTCTTGGTGTTAATCCCACCAGGCTCCATCACTTCCATCTGAATGGCCTTGGTAAGCTATTAACCAGTTATGGTTCTGTTTTTTTCAACAGCAAAATGAGGTTAAGTCACTCAGTTAAGAAACAGCTGAGCGCTTACTAGGTGCCAGGGACAGTTCTAAGTGCTGGAGATACAACAGGGACTACAAAGAAGTCCCTGTCCTCAGGATCCTTACACTTTATTAAGAGAGACAAATACCCAACAAACAAGGCAGGTAGTCCTATGAGCATAGATGTAAGGCACAGAAAATAAGCAGAGTGAAAAAAATGAGAATATTATTTTAGTTAATAACAGCAACAATGACTAATACTTATTGTGTGCTTACTAAATATCAGTCTAACTTATTCTATTGATTCATTTAATAAGAGAGGTCAGAGAAGATCTCCCTAAAAGCTCCTACACCTCAAAGAGCTGTATGGCTTAAATGAGATAATACATGAAAAAGCTCACAGAACAGGGTCTGGCACAGAATAAGCACTCAATAAATGTTAGCTACTAATATATATATTTAAATGTACCTAAATGATTTCTTTACATCATCAAGACCTTGGGATTTAGGACATTTCATTTTCCTAGAGAGGCATGGTCAAGAAATTTTTCTAGCAGCATGATACTTATACATAGGCAAGAACTAACCAAGACTGACTTAACAAGAGAGAAGGTAAATATAACTGAAACAAAATGGGGAGGGGAGGAGATAGGAAGAGGTGGGATCAAGAGCAAAGATGGAGGGTTTACTACTGGAAAGAAAAGACTTTCTCAGAAGACAGAAGTAGTAAGAGTTACAATGTTTATCCTGTCTTTCTGAAATCACTGTAAATTTTTTATAACTAGCGACAACTTTACCAGGCCTTACATAAAACACTCCGTAACTGTAAATAAACACACAAGGCAGAAAAACAAGGACTAGGGCGTCCCTTGTTACTTGGCAGATACCACTTGTTAAAGAATAGGGTAAGTGAATTTGTTACACTTGGTACTATGACACAGTAACTATCAAAGAGCAAGATATAAAGAAACCAAATCTCCATGCTAGAGGACTAAACAGATTCAGTAATGTAATAATGATCTTGATTCTCCCTATCCAACTAGTCACATCAGGGCTAATTCTCCATGAAGCAGAAAAAACTTGGCCAGAAAAAAAACACTGGAGAAAATATACCTCACACATAGTACATTCAAAAAGCTGAGCCTAGGGGCTTCCCTGGTGGCACAGTGGTTGAGAGTCCACCTGCCGATGCAGGGGACACAGGTTCGTGCCCCGGTCTGGGAAGATCCCACATGCCGTGGAGCGGCTGGGCCCGTGAGCCATGGCCGCTGAGCCTGTGCGTCCGGAGCCTGTGCTCCGCAACGGGAGAGGCCACAACAGTGAGAGGCCCGCGTATCGCAAAAAAAGAAAAAAAAAACAAAAACTGAGCCTACAGAAGCAATTCATCCCTGCCCACCTTTAAGTCACCCCTTCTTTCAAGACTTTTTATTTGGTACACAGAACTATTATTCACTTCCCTTCTCCTTTTATTTTACTTATTTATTTAATAAATTTATTTATTTATTTTATTTTTGCTTTGGGTCTTCACTGCTGTGGGCAGTTTTTCTCTAGTTGCGGTGCGCGGGCTTGTTGCGGTGGCTTCTCTTGTTGTGGAGTGCGGGCTCTAGGTACGCGGGCTTCAGTAGTTGTGGCTCACGGGCTCTAGAGCACAGGCTCAGTAGTTGTGGCGCACAGGCTTAGCTGCTCCGCGGCATGTGGGATCTTTCCGGACCAGGTCTTGAACCCGTGTCCCCTGCATTGGCAGGTGGATTCTTAACCACTGCGCCACCGGGGAAGCCCCCCTTCTCTTTTTAAAAACAGTTTTTTTAAACTATGCAAGAAAATATAATTATTTTCTTGATATTTTAAATTTATCATTTCAAGTTCAGATTACATAAACTTAATTCTTACATATCTGCAGTTTCAAGACAATAAAGCACACAGACAGCAAATTTACACATGATCTTACCTTTGTAAGATAATCAACCTTCAAATTGTCGATCATCATATTTTTCTGTGATAGCTCTATTTTCAGTAACTGAATATTATGAAGCAGTTCTTTCCGTTCAATTAGCTGCTTGGTGATTTTGACTTTACCGTCTCTCTCTTCTGATGAGGAAATATCATCTGTAGGAACTGTTGTTTCTAAACTAATATCTTCAGATTCCAGAGAGCTAGAGATGTTCAGTGTTTTTGATGGCTTGGCAACTTTTCGAGACATTTTTAATTATTATGGGTCACTTTTCTTCTCCAATTCTATTTCAATTTTCTGTAGATTAAAAAATATTGATTTAAACGTACTCAAACATTCTCTATGGAAAGCATAAAGTATATCAAAGAGATACTAAGGGTTCCCTAAGTAAATATTAGGCAAACTGGAGGACCCCAAATCTAGGGCAGATTGGTTAAGTTACTGCTCAAATCAAACATATTAAATCAAACTCATTAAGTCTTATTCTAAAACATACTTTTTTTAAAATTAATTTTTCTTGGCATATAGTTGCTTTACAATGCTTTTTTTTTTTTTTGAACCCATACTTTTGATGAATAGAAAACCCAGTTCCTGGGGGCAAGACTCTTACTTGGAGTAAACAAAGAAATGTATGAGATAAACAATAAAGCCCTAAATCGCTAGTACCCAGGAATACTACTAATAAAAGCAGCACATGTTGAAGATAGAGAAGTTTCTTCTGAGTTGGTCAGAGGAAGGTTATACAGAGGTAGGACTTAGAATCTTGAAGGATTTGGAAAGGAGTAATAAAAACGGAAAATCATTCACGTATTAAGGTTGGTATAGAAGTGTTGAAAGTGTAAAACAACAGAGGGACATAGTAGTAGTCAGCCTGGGCCAAGCCCATGAGAATCTGAGTAGTGACTCCAAACACAAACACACAGAAGGGTTGTCCCTTATACATAATCAAGACTGTGGAGGACCTTGAATGTTTCAGTATGTTCGAAATTTATTCTACAGGCAATGAGGCATCAGTTTTTTTTAAAAGGGAAATAGTGAGATAAAATTTTTTTATAGACTTGCAGATAGCAAAATGAAAACAAGAGTGTAAAAGACACATTCCTCGAACTCCTTACCCTTTCACAAAAATGTCAGCAACTCCCTCGTTTTAATACTACACGATATAATAAATTACGGTATTGTAGATACCAGTTTTTCTAAACTGAACGATTAGAAAAAAGGTGTGTGGAAGGGAAACCTAAGAACTCTGACTGGATCGGCTTCCCTCGTTTTTAAAGGGAAAGGGATAAGGAAAGGCGAAATCAAAGGCAACATCACCTGGGATACAAAGGGTCCGGGACTGGCACTGCCCACACGTGCGGCGTGAAGAATAAAACCCGAATTTGGCAGCATCAGAAGATTCCTTGTCCCAGGCAAAAAAGGTAGGGGCGAGCCGTGAGCTACCTGGAAAGCTTCAATTACTCCACGTCGCAGGCTAGAGAAGCCGCCACCGCCGCTACTTTAGGTGAGCTGAAGGTGTCTCCAGACAGCAGCTCGAGGTGCAGTCTCTTAACGACAAATCACAGGTCGGTGACCGTTAGCACCCGTAACCAAAATAACCATTTCCGCACAGTGAGGAAGCTGCAGCAGGCAGACGCCCACGCTACCGGAACTCAGCCCTCCCGCGTCCACCCTGGCGCGGGAAGCAATGCATGCTGGGAGATGGAGTCCGGAGGCGGCCCCGCTCAATTCGCGGGCGGAAATGGCTCCGGGCTCCTCCCATCTACCCGCTTTCGCCCAATCCTCGCAGCCCTCAGAGAGCCAACCAACGGCTGTCTCGAGGTTTCCCCACGAGAGGGGTTTACTAATATCCTGGAGGGGGAAGGAGCAAACCTCTGGGTAAAGTGTAGTTGTGCGACAGGGCTCCAAGCTTGACATTTTCCGCCGGAAGAGAACTGTTGAGGTCGGGATTCCAAGCCGCGAGGCAAGATGCTCAAGTCCAGGACTTTCTTAAAAAAGACGCGGGCGGGCGGCGTGATGAAGATCGTGCGCGAGCACTACTTGCGAGACGACATAGGCTGCGGTGCGTCTGGATGCGCGGCGTGCGGAAGTGCGCACGAGGGGCCGGTCCTCGAGCCGCAGCCCCTGGATCGGGTCAGCAGCCTCTGCCCACAGCCGCACTACTTACTGCCTGACACCAACGTGCTGCTCCACCAGGTGCGCCGGTAGGCGGGCGAACCGCGGGCACAGCGGCGCCACCGGGAGAAAGGGAGATAGGGAGACTGATCCCCAAGGAGGAGCGTCTTGGGCAACATCACGTACTTAGGGAGAGGCAAACCCCGTCAGGACCTATGCCTCCTGCCCCCCCAGGCCGAGGTTCTTTTCCATGTACTGTTTTTTTTTTTGAGTTCTTGGAGTTATAGGAATTTTAAATACGTCAATTTTCTAACTCCTGGTGTCTCTTCTGCCTTAGATTTTAATGTCTGGAGGTCGGGGACCTGGGCTTCTGTGGCCTCCAGCCTGCGACCCCCAGGCAGCTTGTAAGTGCCTACGAACGAAAGCTATGTGGGCCAACGTATTACTTTATTAATTAAGTTAATTCTACAAAGTTTTGTAATTAGCCTATTTACATGTGTACTTTTTTAATGGACCTGAAGGGTTTTCTGTTGCAAAATAGCTCCTTATTTAATGTACGGTTAGTGTTTTTTTTTAACCGGCAGAGTTTCACGTTCAACAGAAGCAATTTATGAATGAACAGAGGAAAAATTAACTCTTCGTTTATTTATTTATTTGTTTATTTATTTAAAAGATTGATGTCCTTGAGGACCCTGCCATCAGGAATGTCATTGTGCTACAAACAGTTCTCCAAGAAGTGAGAAATCGGAGTGCTCCGGTATATAAACGAATCCGAGATGCGACTAATAACCAGGAGAAGCATTTCTATACATTTACTAACGAGCATCATAGGTAGGGGGGAAATTATGTCAATTATCAGGAAACTATAGAATTAGCTAAACTGGGGGGAGAGTTCCTGGCGGTAATCTGTGACATCGTCAGAAGATACACCATAGGTTTCATACTTCTGAGAGTAATATTTGGTTCTTACAGAGTTTACAAACCTTGCTAAGTTCACATAGGCATTGATTGGGTCAAACCCAGAACCAAAGTCTCCTGGCTCCTCGGCTATGGTAGGTACTTTAATTTCCAAAATGTTTTCATTTTGAATTGGTTTTAGCATGAGTCGAGCAATAGGATTTTGGAAGACGAGATTTGCCTAGGTTCCTGGTATACCATATTAAGCGAATAACCAACAAAGGTTAATAAAATATAGGAGTTTGTGAAGGAAAGCTTTAAAAATATAAAGCAGATATATTCTTAATGGGCTCTTAACAGTTAAACTAATACCTTATAACTGATCATATTGACGACAATAAGGTTAAGAAATAGAATTCTTTGTTTCAGATTCAAGACCTTTGTTTGAACTTTATGTGTGATCTTAGAAAATATGATATTGCCTGTTCCTTATGTTACAGAAATAATTTATGATGAGTCCTAGCTTACGTTTTTTTCCTTATAAATTTATTTTATTTATTTATTTTTGGCTGCATTGGGTCTTCATTGCTGCGCGTGGGCTTTCTCTAGTTGCGGTGAGCAGGGACTACTCTTCATTGTGGTGCGCGGGCTTCTCATTGCGGTGGCTCTAGGCACAAGGCTTCAGTAGTTGTGGCACGCGGGCTCCAGAGCGCAGGCTCAGTAGTTGTGGCACACAGGCTTAGTTGCTCTGCGGCATGTGGGATCTGGACCAGGGCTCGAACCCGTGTCCCCTGCCTTGGCAAGCGGATTCTTAACCACTGCGCCACCAGGGACGTCCCTAGTTTACTTTTATTAGATCAGAGTTTCTCAATGTTGGCACTGTTGACATATTGGACTGGATAATTCTTTGTTATGGGAAGGCTGTCTTAGGAATTGTAGGATGTTTAGCCGCATCCCTGGCGTATATGCACTAGATGCCAGTAACAGACCTCCCCTTCCCCACCGATCCACCGAGCTGTAACAACCCAGAATGTCTCCAGACATTGTGAAATGTCCCCTGGCGGGGAAAATCACTCCCTGGTTGAGAACTGCTAGATGAGACAGTAGATGTAATAATGAAATCCCACTGGAATATGCAAATTAAGAATATTTAATTTCTCTTCTTTATTCTTTTTTTTGTGTGTGTGGTATGCGGGCCTCTCACCGTTGTGGCCTCTCCTGTTGCAGAGCACAGGCTCTGGACACGCAGGCTCAGCGGCCATGGCTCACGGGCCCAGCCGTCCCGCAGCATGTGGCATCTTCCTAGACCGGGGCACGAACCCGTGTCCCCTGCATTGGCAGGCGGACTCTCAACCACTGTGCCACCAGGGAAGCCCTCTCTTCTTTATTCTTATATCCCACACTTAAATACTGTTGTTATAAAGAACATCAGTAAAGCACCTGTAGACTTCTTATTTCTGTCTCCTCTCGAAATCCAGAAACAGAAACTTCACTGTTTTTCAGCGCTCAAAGACCTAGTTTCTGTGGAGCATGATCATTGGATTTTTAATCCAAGGTTAGCAATTTTGTTAGCTTAAGTGCAGTGAATAGAGCTTAGCAATACTGGGGTTGACAGGAAGAATTAAGACACTCGAGCAAATCTCATGTCAGGTTGTTGCTCAGTCATGCTAAAACCAATTCAAAAATTTATGAGTGTCTTTGATAAGCTTAAAAGCATTATCAGGTGTATTTAATGGTGAATAATAAAATAATTCTGAAAACCATATAAATAAGTACAGAATTCTAAAATTGAGCCTATAATTTTTAAGAAGTAGGTAGAAGTTGTTGTGCTGAATTTTGTTATTGTACTTAAATTTAGCTTCGAAGAACAGATTTAAATAAGTATGCTGACATTTGATTGCTCAGAGTGGATAGACTTAGAAGGAATATACAATCATATCTGTATCTGGTCTTTCAGTCCCTAGATGGTGTTTGTCATTTATTCAGGGTTTACCATGGATAATTTATGTGCATTATGTATTTAATAACTATACATTAATCATATCATCACAAATCATCTAATCATACAATCAATAGCTTTTAGGAATTCCTGTTAATCTACAGTTTGAATGCAACCTCATTATCAGACCTGCAAAGTTTTAGTATAGTTTTTTTCCAACAAACTATTACTTTTTTAATGTCCCACCCTCAAGTAGAAATTCTGATCTTGAATTTTTCTTTTGGTGAAAAAAATTTATTTTAGTCTTTTTTATTGCTCCATTAATGTGATTTTCTTCTTTTCCAAGTAAGTTGTTGTCTTAAAAACGTGACTGGGGGATCTTATTTGTTTCCACTCTGAGGTATAAATGTGAATACATTCAAGAGAAAAAGATGTACCATTGACTTTAAGTTTAGTAATTATTAGGCATTTATGTCCTAAGACTTTTTACATGTGCTTGATTCTGTTGTTTTCCATTTGTTTCTTTTTTTTCCCTTTCTATTACACTTAGAGAAACTTATGTAGAACAATTACAGGGAGAAACTTCTAATGACAGGAATGATAGAGCCATTCGAGTAGCAGCAAAGTGGTACAATGAACATTTGAAGAAAATGTCGGCAGAGAATCAGCTGCGAGTTATCTTCATAACCAATGACAGGAAAAACAAAGAGAAAGCCATAGAAGAAGGGATACCAGCTTTCACTTGTAAGTCTCCATGGAGACCGGACTGTTAGTTCATGTTTGCAAATGCATATAAAAACTATCATCAGGCCCATAATCAGATGTTCATTTGACCATTTGGTATTTTCATAGTCCTATATAACTTAATGTGATATTTTTGTGTTTTTTTTAATTTCTCAGCATTTCTAAGCTAAGTGAGTTGTGCCACCAGTGGCTATTAATTTCCCTATCAAGACTTGGAATTGGCTTAGCAATGAAAGCTTATAGATATACTTGACCCACTGCCTTTTGGGCGTGACCACTTCAACAGAGGGCTTCCCCCCCCACCAAAAAAAATTGACATATGTACTGTCACAAACAAAAGAAGGAGAAAAAAACATATCTAAGGAGGAAAAAAAACCACATTTGAATTTATCAAGAACAAAAAACTTATTTTTCAGGTGAAGAATATGTAAAAAGCCTAACTGCTAACCCTGAACTCATAGATCGTCTTGCTTGTTTGTCTGAAGAAGGGGTATGTTTGAGTTTGTTTTATTTTGTTTTTGAAAAGTGAAATTATTAATGTATCCACTTCCGGATGTTAGGCTCATAGTTACCAAATTTAAAAATTGGAATATCGGTGGGTAAGCTGGAATTGGAATAGGAGTTGGGTTATAAACAAGAGTGGCTCTAATAGACTTCTTATCAAAATGTCCTAAAGACTTGACTTTCTCAAATAGCGCTCTTTACTGATATATCCTCAGCAACCCGAGTAGGGCCTGGCACAAGGTGGCACTATCTGTTTGATTAATAAATGAAGGAATTCATGGCTGGCTTGTGATGAGTAGGTATTTGACAAAGAAGTGGTGGGCACTGCAGAGAGAGCATACAGCTGTAGCATCAATTGCATAGGAGGAGGGAGGGAGTCATAAGAGGTAGAACAGGAAGGCAAGGGGCCAGATAGTGTGGACTTAACAATTTATTCTGTTAGTAATTTTTAAACTGTCTTATAAAGGTCTCCCTAAAAGGCTGCTATGAAGAGAAGTTAGCAGATAGGATTCTGGGCTCCCTACCTTATATTGTCAGGCTAAAAGACATTAAAGGTGGATGGGAGTGTGTCTAGGAGGAACGGAGGAGAAGGACCAGAATTGTTACTTATTTGGGAGACTACTCCAATTTCGATTTGTAAGATGATGCATTGTATCAAGAGCAAGATTAGAGGCAGAGGGATGAGAAAAGGGATCACTGCCATAGTGGACTTGAGAGGGAACCATTAAACTTTGTGAGCTGGTATTTCCTTGTATGTA